TTTTTTTTTTTTAACGCTAAAACTGTTTATAAAAAGTTTTTGTTTTTCAATAATATCATTGATTGAATATGCATTTTTTGAGTGCTTAAAAACTTTTGTAAAGTGCTTGAAAAGTTTTTAAAAAGTGCTTATTTTTGATTCAAAGATTTGGCTACGCACCCTGATGCAGTTAAAGCATTGCATATTATATATTGTTATACTGTATATGAAATCACTACCTAGTTATTTCAATTATTTAAAATAGTTCGGCCATAATGACAAACTTTTCTCTGCATCTTTTTATATTTTCCAAATTTAAATAGCTTTTTTTAATATCCATGCACTACTTGCATAAAAATGCACCTTTGAAAGTTTAATTTATTCATCTTTGAAGTATCCTACTTCTAATTTGCAGAAAAAGAAATATTCAATAAATTTGTCCTAATAATCCAAATTGATTGGGATTGATGCTAACTCGAATTAAACTGTTTTTTGCACTAGTGTAATTGGAAAGTGATGATGCTGGTACATAAAAACACATAGTTGATGCTGACACAAATCCATCTTTAGATTATTGTAACTTTACTTGTTTTGTATATCTTACGATAATAGTTTTTACCATTTCAACATGCGCCCTTTAGCTTAACATGGTTCTCAAGTAGCAATAACAGACTTATATAAATGACATTCACATTGTCCTTTACATATGTTGTAAAAGGTTCTTTTTTAAAATTGTTAATTCTTTTTTGATTAAGATTCTTTCAGCATTCCTTTCTCTTTCTTTACTTGATTAGATGAGTCATAGAAAAAAATCCTATAAAAGTCGTAGAAAATTGCACTTAACGAACTTGCTTTTCTGCTAGGCAGACTAATTTCTCTCATGTTTTATATTATAGAAAAATGCTATCTAAGGGGGGGAAACATTGCAATCTCAGCAAATTTGCTATTTATAAAAATGCTGGACAATTAATTAACATTTATTAAAATTATATTTTTTTTATAATTATTTCATGTTAAATTAATAAAATTCAAAAAATATGCTTAAATATTTATTTATTTTTCTCATAGGATTGGATTTATTTTGATGATTGGACTAAGGAAGCTATTGTAATGGCTAGTAAACATGATGGCTCTGGAATAAATACACTGTCTAGAACAACTCATAGAGCCATGGATATGAAGATATTCGCCCCATCACTACAAAAAGGTGTGCAATAAATTCAAATAATCTTAAGTATCTTAGTAATTATCTTGAAACTTACAGTTTTATGTTAATGTATTTGCTTTCTTATAGGCTCAGGGCCTTGTAGTGGTCCATTTAATGGTAATTGTAGTCATTTTTGTGTTGCCTATCCTGATGGCTCTCATGTTTGTTTATGTCCAGAATGGGCAATCAAAACTAAATTGAACAATGGCTCTGAGATTTGTTCCTGTTCAAATGGTAGTGCTCTTCTGGCCAATGGTACATGCAGTGAAAGTGACTGTAAGTATAAAGCCTGTTAAAAGTTTTATTTTATTTTTGCATATACTTATATTCATTTAAAAAACTCTATAATATATAATATATTAAATTATTTTATTTTTAAACAAAATAATAAAAAAAACTGAGATAGTAACTGTAAGTATAAAGCCTGTTAAAGTTTTCTTTTATGTTAGCATTTAGTTATACTTCTTTTAAATAATGTACAACATTATATAGAATTATTTTATTTTTTAACAATTAAAGCTGTTACATATTAATCTTTCATAGTAGTAATTATTTTTGACGTATGTTTTATAATGTCTTTTCATAAAATTTAAAAAAAAATCAACTATTTTAGTTTTTTGTTAATACAGTCGTACCTTGATCCATGGTTCCCACATCTTTCATTTTTCCTTTATATATCATTTTGTTTGAAAGCTACCTTAGCAAATAATATTTTTCTACTTTTAAAAATATCCGATTAGATAGTTTTTGAAACTAACACATTCCTGCTTCTTGCTCAGAAATTCTACTGATATTTTCCAAAGGTATTGCAGTTAATTTATTTTGAGGGGAAAAAAACAGTAACTCCTAATGCTAATGAGGAAAAGGAAAATGAGGATTTGTTGCAATTTGGGAAAAGGACTCGAACATCATGTTTGATGTTTATGCATCAGTTGGTAAAAATATTCAACCGTGTTCTGTTGTCAGTTCAAGAAATAGTTGCAGAAGTTTAATAAGTGGCTAATAAAGTTGGAGAAAGTGAACTTGACTGAAATCAGTAAAAACACTTACGGAAAGCCTTGGAGCCTTTGAAACAATAAGGAGGTTTCTGCGTCCATACGAACTTACAGGTAGTGAACAGCAACTTGTTATAAATGTCGTAAATTTATTGTTTGCACTGAGAAGAAAAGAGTATGTTGAAACCAAAATTTTAAGACATTTTAAATAAGTAAATATGTTCTTTTCATCCTTCTTTTTTGTCGTATAAAAGTTAATTATGCAAGTCATCAAGTTTTTATGCATTTTCAAATTACTATTTGATTTTTATTTATTTATTTTTTTTCCACTTAGTCAAGTGAAACTTTAAGTGCTCAAATGATACAACTTTTTTTAAATAAACTAATTTTAAAGATCTTGATGAAAACTTTATATCTATTTTGTAGCTTCCGTCCACTGTAAAGCTGATGAATTTAAGTGTTCAAACAGCAAGTGTATTCCAAAATCAAAAATGTGTGATGGTTCAAATGATTGTGGAGACTACAGCGATGAAGGAAAACAATGTGGTAAATATGCCTCTTTGCTGCAAGAATCTATGCATAATATATTGTATTTTATTGAAGAATATTAATGTAAAAAAAACCAATCATCATACAGATTCAACTTGTGATGGTGGAAAATTTAGATGTAAAAATGATCGTTGCATTCATTCTACCTTTGTTTGTGACTTTGATGATGATTGTGGAGATATGTCAGACGAGCTCAATTGCAGTAAGTACTATGATATTAAATTATCAGTGATCTTTTCATAGTGTCTAAAAATATTCCTTTTATAGTTTCCTGATAAGTCCTTTTGGTCAAATAGTTCCTAAGAAATTGAATTTTAATAAAGTTGCACATTTAAAATTCAATTTCTCAGGAATTATTCAGTGGATTTCACTCAAATTTTAAATTTTGCCACATAAAATTGCATTCTTTAAATTGCATAATTGCATTTATTCAATTTTTTTTTCAAATGTTATTAAATAAAATATTACTAAATAATTAATAAAAATTATTTTTGCAGTTATTTTTTGCATCTTTATGTAAAAAATTAGCGAAATATAGCGAAATATGCAAAAAGTAAAATTAGCATTAAGGGGTCCAAACTGTAGACCGCTGTCCTAATTAAAATATTAAGACGCATATTTCCCAGATTACGGTTACTTTAATGGTCTAGAATCCAAATCTGTCAGAAAAAAGCATGATGTTTATTCAGAGAAAGTATGTCTTTGTGACGAATTTCATACCATAAAATATCATTGGCACTAATAAACTTTAAGATTTAGTCACTTCTCGAAACTTTAAGATTTAGTCCAAGTAAATGAAACTTCATTCATTAGATTTAAAGTTATTAAGGATGATTCTTTTCTATTTTTTGCGCATTGCACATCCGTTAAATAAAAAGTAGATGGTGGCTTCTTATGTTTAGCTTGACAATTTGAAATAAATGCAATGAATTGTCAGAATTTTTTTTTTTTTTGTTATTTTAGAAAAACCCAAATATTGTATTTTATGAACAATTCTATGCCACTGACACATTTAATAATTTTTATGATTGTAATACTTGCGAGAGTGATGTGAGCTTGGCAAAAAAAAATTTCCAATATTGAAATGAAGCAACAAATTATGTTTAAATTTATCTTCTCAAGTATCAATTGGAAATATGTTTTTTTTTTCATATGTTTTTAAAGCTAGATAAACATAATGTTTAATGAATGTAAAAAAATATTTATATTGTGATATTATCTAAATGTTAAAAAAAAACTGACAATAACTTAATTAACTTATTTTTGAACTAACCAAATAAATTGTAAAAGTTGCTTATTTTCTTAAAAGAATAATTCAATTTTAGAGTATCCTGAATGTAGTGCAAGTCAATTCCAGTGTGCAAATGGTCGTTGTATCAGACGAGAATATTTATGCGATTTTGATGATGATTGCCATGATGGTTCAGACGAATCCAACTGTACAAGTAAGTTTATTGGTTTCTTTCCAATATGTTACAGTCTTAAAAAATATCATCACGGAAAATATTATTAAGTTTTTGAAATTTTATTATTGTATGCTGTTATCATTGCCTTGATAATTATATATTTTTTTTTTCCTTAGGTCCTGAAAGGACATGTCGTGAAAATGAATTTTTATGTCAAAGTGGTCAACAATGCTTACCAATGTCTTGGAGATGTGATGGAGATTCAGATTGTCATGATGGCAGTGATGAAAAGAACTGTCGAAATATGACCTGTGAATCATGGCAGTTTAAGTGTGGTAATGGCCGATGTATTTTTATGTCTTGGCAGTGTGATACCCAAGATGATTGTGGTGACAATACTGATGAGATTAATTGCAGTAAGTTTATCTTAAATTTTTGAATTAGGGGCCGGGATAGCCTGGTTGGTAGGGCACTGGGCCCATGTCCAGGAGTTCGTGGGTTCGATTCCCGCCGCCCGAAGACTCTCTGTGTAGTAAATGGTGACTGATGCACGTTAAATCTGTCGAGTCGCAAAGTCCTCCATGTTCCCATAACAAATCAATTCCGCTGGGGGTACTGATCCAGGAGTTTCCTTGTCTTCTGGATTGGTTAAAAATTTACAAGGCTACGGAGTTGTACATTAGTAGTCGTAAACCCAAACGTTGGGTCGGGTGTATAACGACTGATATAAAAAAAAATTTTGAATTTATTTGTAAAATGGAAAGAAGGTATTTTAATAAATAAATTTTATGAGTATCTTCACTTTTTTCCTTTAAGTTTTCTATCTATATGGTTGAATAAAATTCTAATATTGATTTATGACAAGTTAAAATTTTGATGCAGCACCAAACAAAATCTAATTAGTTTAGTGCTGTATCTAAGTTTTAACTTGTCATAAAGCAATATTAGAATTTTATTCAATCGAAATTCATTTTTTGGGACTAACAAAAAAAATTTCGAAGTAAAAAATTTTAATATTACATTTTTTCAACTTTTTATGAAAAACAGTCATAAAACATTCAAGTGGCCAATCGCTGAAACCTTACAAAAAATTTCTAGTGCATTCTGCACATGTTTGTTGTCAATATACTTGCTATTTACTGTGTGTAATATTGAATTGTGGACCAGATATATTTTTCAGTCAAGTTCATTCTGATGGAACAAATGGGATTTTATTTTTATAAAAAGTGTATCATAGCTCTTTAATAGGCAAAACTTAAGTTCCATACTTGCTCATTATTTTAAAAGTTTGTTAAAACTATTTAACAGTCACATTATGTTAATGGTTAATTATCTAATAAAACCCATTTTAATGATACTCTTGCTCAATGACAAAAACAAATCAAATCCTCAAAGGTTGCCTTCATCATGTTATGTTTGTTAATAAATCAAATAGTCGTTTTCCCTTCGATTCTTTTGTATATGAAAAAAATACAATATGCTACAAGCACATTTATCAAAGGATATTTATTAGATAACTTGTTTAGGTGGCAATCTTAAAATTGTTTCAAACCGCATCCTGGCTAGTCAGAAGCCTACTGTATCAAGTTTTGGTTTCTCTATTTCCAAATAGTAATTATGAAATAAATAATTTGGTACATTTTTACAAGTAGCTGTCTTTTTAAATCATTTAAGGAACAATGGCTTCATAGATTAGCCGTCTTATGTATTCATTACATAATAACTCTTAAGATTGTTAATGGTTTATCATTTGTTATACTAAAACTTTTTTATTATTTTTTGTAATTGCTAAATTATGGGTCACAAAAAAATACTAATCTTTTTTTTCAGCAATAGCAAACACTTATGCAAAATTAACTCTTATTGTTAAATGAAAAACTGTAATTTAAAATTTTATTTATCTAGCTACATCAACTGTCAAACCTTCTTCCACTACTCCTAGTAGTGTTACAACTGGGGAGCCTGGTCACTGCTCAACATGGATGTTTAGATGTAATTCTGGCACTTGCATTCCTTTCTGGTGGAGATGTGATGGTGTCAATGATTGTGGTGACATGTCTGATGAGAATATGTGTGGTGAGCGTTTTGACATATTTCTGTTTCATTTTGAAAAATATGCATACTATTTTTAAAAGCAGTGGTATTTTCCCCCCAGCACATTGTCCTCACAAAATCAATCGAAGTACGCCCACACGAAATAACCTGGTTTTTTTATTTGTAGGTTTATAATTTCCTTTTAAAGACAAAAGAGTTGTTAGTTATTATCATTTTAGCATAAACTTCCAAATAATTGGAACTGATTGATTAACTTGATAATTTAGATAAAATTGCTATATAAAGCTAACTTAGCATTTAAACTGAAATGCAAACGTGTTTTGAGAGCATACTAATGTAATGTGTGCAGAAAAAAATAAATGGTCCACCCTGAATCATTTCTGCTCTAATTGGATCTTTGAGTTTTAGGATTCGATCTTAACGGTTTGAGAGGGTAACCACAAATATGTGAATTAATTAGTGTGGATGATATTTTAAATTGCAAAACCAGGCACAAAAGCATACTTTTTTTGAATAGATATACCTTTTTTTTATGGATTCAGATTTAACTCTCAAAATATAGGAGGTAGCTGCACTTAGGACAGTTTAATTTTATGTTGTAAAATATAAAATTTGAATGAAATTTATTGCATAGTTTTTTGAGAAAATTAATTTTAAATACCTCTATTTAAATATCTAACTATCTATTTGATTTCTCGGAAACTATTCAGCCAATTTTGCTCGATTTTTTTGGTACGCTGTTTTCTTTTTTAAAAAAAAGCTTATCTTGTACATCTTGCGCCAACAAATTTCAAAAAACTAATGTTGATTTATAAATAATTACAAGGTTGTTTGATGCTAATATTTATGCATTTTACCATTTACCAATTATTCTTTGTTCTGTATGTTTCTTGTTTAGCTTTCTAAATTTAACATTCAAATTATTAGTAGTTCTAAGGAAAACCTACAAACTGCTGCATAAATAATGATTAGGAAGTTAAATGTGGAAAAGATTATGACTAATGTACTAGAAAACTTATAGAATAGATGTTTCTTTTCAAAAATGTTTGATCTAACTTTGTAGGATTTAGGAGCAAAAATTGTATTAATGTTGAAGAAAAGTAATGATAAATTTATGTCTTCTATCCTAAAAATATATACTATTTATTTTGCTTCCAAAATACTCAAAAAAAAATTATTCATATGTAATTTAATTTTTGGACTTTTTCATGGTTATTGCACAGTTTTCTAGTTTACGTGAGGTATTATAGTAATTATATTATTATTAATTAAATAATTCATTTTTTTGCCATTGAAATTCATTTTCTATTTCCTCCAGGAGATAAGACTGATGAAAGAAATTCCTCTTCTACTACTGAAGTCACACCTATCAATAAAAATCAAACTAGCTGCGGAGAAAATAGATTTAGATGTAAATCTGGTAAGTATTTTTTTCTTTCTCTTTAAGTTTTAAAAATTAAAAGTTTTAACATTTTATTGCAAAGACCTTTGTTTCATAAAATGTACTGTCTCAAATTACTTGTATTTATACTAAAATGTGTTAACCCTCTTGTAATCATGTGCATGGAGAGTCCTCTTCAGTCCTGCAGTCTCTTTCTATAATCTTTTCATTACCTCGGTCCACATTAGTGAACCTTCGCTTCCTAGCTTCTTAAAACACAAAATAAAAAAAAAATTTGTTCTACCGCCACTAAAACATTTGTGAACGTTTAAGCTTTCTAAGGATTCCAATCGATATAGAACATGTAAATTATTTTTGTAGATACATATACAGAATTGATTTTTGAAAAATGATACTAAATCCATGTGCTCCAAAATGTAGGTATTTTTAAGTATTAAATAATTTAGTTATTCTGAAAACTATTTTTTCCTTTTGACCTAGTTCTGTGATCTGCATGAAGTTTTTAAATTTATATTTACTTAATATTTTAAAATAATGCTGTTAAGAACATCCAGGTTCATGCTTGTGTACCTTTGTATGTATGTTGAAATTTACATCAAGAGAAATCTCATATTATTATTAGTATTTAATTTTATATCTATTTAGTAATATTTTTATGCGTATTTTAATTAAATGTTTTTTGTTAAGGTATATGCATTTTTTAATAACTTTAATTTTATGTGTTTTTTTTCCATAATTTTGAAATTTCCACCCCCAAGTATGAGATATTTTTTGATAATTAATGATAGATTGCTTTAAATAATTATTTGTTTAGCATGGTTTGCATAATTAAAATAGATGAAACTACAATTTATTGCAGTATAAAATGCAGTACCTATAAAATTTTGTACTTCTTGAAATTTAATTATTTTTTAATAATTATTAATTCTATACACTATTGTATTTAAATGGACCATAATATAAAAACATACATGTTTGTTCCTACTTTAGGTAAATTAAACATATGAAATATTTATATTCATGTTCTTTTACTTATTAAAATCTGAGGTACATCTTTATGTACCTAAAATTTTTAGCCCTGTGACAGTATAATTCATATTTTGTTTATCTTATTATGACTTATGGCAGTGAAATAGAAATATGGAAGTGAAAAATATTTTTTCCTTTATACTTCAGTAGTGAAGATTAGATTAGTAAATGGTATTTCAGGGAATTATCTCAAGTTTGTTTATTAAAAAATTGGAGATAGACTAAATTTTATTCATTAAATGTGTGCTGAATTAGTTCTTGAGTGAAATTTTTTCCATGTCAAAATGCTTTAAAGTCTACAATGTTAATATTTATAAATGAAATATAATGTTAATAGAGTTGATAGCTTTTCTTTTAAGAATATTTTTGTTCTCATTTTTATTTAGGTACTTGTATTTGGAGTTCATGGTTATGTGATGCCTTGATTGATTGTCCTGGAGGAGAAGACGAAGAGAATTGCAAAGGTAAAAATGGCTTTATTTATGCAATTTTGTTTTTTATAGGATTTTCGAAACACTGGAAAACTGTATATTTCAGAGCTATAAAGTAGAGCATTTTATCTCATGATTTTATTTATTTATTTATTGTTACTATTTTGTTAGCTATTATGTACAAAACTACATTTTAATATTAGCTCTCTTTCCTTTAATTTATTATCAAAGACGTGTGTGAACTATTGTTGTGTTCTTCAATGTGTATAAATTATGAAACAAAATAATTTTTATTTCAGCTGATGAAGAGTGTGGACTAGATTATTTTAGATGTGTGCACAGTGCTGGTTGTATTTCACACAAACTTGTTTGCAATGGTAAAGAAGATTGTGGAGATGGAAGCGATGAATGGGGCTGCCAGTTTGGCAATGGTATTTTCATTTATTTTTATGCAGGATTTGCCTAAATGATTCACTCAGTTTTAAAGGATTGTTTATTTACAAGTATATGCTATACAAAGTGGGTGTTACACGGTTAAATAGATACACTCACATATTAAAATATAGATACACTCATTATAATATAGATACACTCACATATTAAAAATGAAAAACTTACACTAAATCTTACAAACTTACACTAAATCTAAAAAACATTTCTGCAAGCAATCCATTAACTTTTGTAACTAGTTTCAACACTTTCGTTTAAAAATCACAAATTTTTTAATAAACAGTTTACATTTTTTAAAAATGTTTTAATTTTTATAAAACTCTATATTGATTTATACAGAGATGAGTTAGGTAAAAACAAAAAAGCTTAAAATAGAAATTTAAAAATTTTATGTTCAAAAACACTATTTAAATAATTGAAAAAATACCTAAAATTTGAGCTAAAAAAAGTTTATGTAAGAAGCATTTATCCATAGAATGATATCGAGGTTTTATTAAAATTATTGATGCAAGATTTTATTAATTTATTTATTTATTTATGTATAATGAAATTGTGTGAATGTGAATCTCAATATGTGACTTTTAAACCATGTGGATATGAGTCTTGATATTCAATTAATTTCAAAATCACATTAATGCAAATGTCAATGTTTGAGTTTGAAAATGCATGAATAAGAAGCTTGATGTGCCTAAACCTCGTAATTACGAATTGCGTGTGATATCTAAACATGTGAACACAAATCCGGATGTGTGATTTTTAATCATGTGAATGTAATTTTTTATCATATTTTTGCATAGGTAGGAAAAAGCTTAAAAACTAATCTTATTTTTTCTTCAGGAACTCGAAAAAGGCAAACTTTATTTGAAAGGTGGATTTTTTTATTATATTTTAAAAAGTAGAAGAAACTCATTCTTGTTAATCAGGATGCCTGAAAGTAAATGCAATGATGTAATCAAGGGGAAAGTGTGGCTACGCAAAATGGGGGGGGGGAGATTGATGATTTTTTTTTTTTTGATAATGCTAAACAAATTTCCGTGACTTTGACAAATTTCTCGCAAACGATTTTCGTGTATATTATACGTATCTGCTGAAAATATGCATAGTGACCCCTTTTGTCATTTGACACACAACTCAATGATAAGTCAGTTCTGTTCATACTTTTAATCGATACTTTTATTCAATGTCCATCATAGCAGCAGTGATGCGTTTCTGCAATGTTGTCGGCAATGAATGTACATAATCTGGTTGTCCATTTTAGGATCCAAAATCATTCATTTCATCTGATTTTGTCTGCGAAATGTTAATTTTGTTTTTAAAATAAAAATAAATTAAAAAAAGTGGTCAAAATTTATCCACTCTATCTGGCAGAAACTGATTTGAGGAGAATTTCTTTCTCTGCTTTGCACTGTCGCACTTTCGAGAATCAGATGGACAACTGTTGGTTTTATTAGCGAGCAGAGAGTGCTGTTTTTCGTCATTCAGCTTGCAAACTCGTCAATATGTATATTAGACATTTTAGGTGGCGTCACTGGATTTTAAACACCTTAATAAATTGTGGTTTTGTTTGAACCTCTCTATTCCAGAGTTAGTTTTTTTTTAAAAAAAATTATTTAAATTATTTATGAAATAAAATTAAAACTTTTAATAAGTTCAGTGATTTTCAAGCATATTTCGTCCGAATTAGGTGGTAACAAAAAGGTATAAACCAATTACGAGAGTCAATAATGTGCTTGCACAAAGTTTTTTGATTTTGGGTTCATTTCATTTTATCTAAGTCTACCGCTCCTTTGTATTCAAATAATCCCCTAACCACCTTTCCATCCACTTAGTGTCAAGAATGATTCAGTCATTCTAGTTAAAGCAAAGATTCCCCCAATTTTTTGGAAAGTGAATAAAAGGTTTCATATTATGCAGCTAATTATACTCCTATTGATTTCAAAATAGCCATATTAGCTATTCTCATATTCCAACTGAACATTTGTATTTCGACAATTTTTATTTTATTTATACAGTAATGTATTTTTTTTATTACCCTTCCACCTTCTGTTCTTTGATAAGCGTGTGTAATGTAAGCCTCCTTGTAAATTAAAAATTCCTCATCTTTCGCTCTACTCAACTTCAAGGATGACTGGAATTTCCGCATTTTAACTCAATGGTTCTAGTTCAAAATTAGAAGGGAAAAAACAACAAAAGTTTTCCCAGTTTTCTGTTTCATCGGTTTTTTGTACACCAGATAAAAAGCTCTGTACTGTACCTTTATGTTTTAATTTTTGTTGTATAATACATAAATTTGTTCAATTTCCAATATTGTTTTTAGATACTTATTAATTGAGATTTTTCTTTCTTTAGATACTTCGTCACCTTTATCTTGCTCATCTCTTCAATTTCTATGCTCTACCGGTGAATGTATTGGCATGAATCAATTGTGTGATCATAATAATGATTGTCCTTTAGGGGAAGATGAAAAAACTTGCTCAGACACAGGTTGGTAATTTCCACTATGTTGGTTATTTCATATTATTTTTGCAACTGTTATCAATGAACAATTATGTTTTAATATTTCTATTTTTCATTATTTTCTTATCTTTAGAAGCTATAAAAAAAAGTTAATTATTTTATAAGAAAAAATTTCAAAATTAATCTTTTTGACATAGAGGTTTATCTTAAATTACACGGATGCTTAAAAGGAAGAGAGTCTTAGCCATCTCCTGAACTACTTGCAGATTTTAATGAAATTTGGTAGGAACATAGTTTATAGTTATACAAATAAAATAACTATTCAACAGTTATTATACATCGGCATGGTCATGCATGACATTTTAAACAAATGAACTTGGCTAATGTAGGTAATTTCCCCCTCTTATAGATATTTTCTGAAAGTTCTTTTTTTTTTCTTCAGAAATAAGGCAGTTTAGAAGTTCATGCATCTTAGATTGTTTTCAGAGGGGCACTGTGCGTTTTAATTGCTTTCCTCAGTGCAACTCAGACATGCTATATTTTAGTGATTCCTCTTATACGCTATAGTGTGTCAAATATGCTCAAAATCATATTGTGGAAACTAAACATAAGTTACGAAGCACCCCTGGGACACTTAACTCTCCGGCATGAAAAAAATTACCATTTCAGTTGATTTATGTATGCAAAATTATAACCCCAAACTTTATATATGCATATCTAAAGAAAATGATACTTCTGTACTAATAGCTGAAGGAAAAAATAAGATTTATCAAATTATATTATTTGCTTTTCCCTGATACAAGGTGCTTCGATTCTTCAAGACCAGGGATCTGTCTAGGCCAAATTTACTACCATTTAGCAGTACCTTCACAAATTCAACTTCCTCCTAGGAAAAACAGTAGTTTCACAAAATATTTTTTCTTGAAATTTTATTTTTGTATCCTGTAAAAAACGATAAATCTTTATTTTTGTGTTGATTTTTTAATATAATTTTTTATTTTCACAAGTTATGTCTAAATTTTCACAAAATAGATACCTCAGAAAAACCTAGACCCCTGAAAATTAAATTTATCTTTGATAGCTCAAATATATGTATATCTTCCTTTGAAACTCTTTGTTTTGTTTATTATAATTATGAATCTGCGTATAAATAGATGGATAAAGTGAAGAGTTCATATTTTAAATAGGAACCCACTTTTAGCAAAAAGGGACCCAGAAATTTTGAAGTCCTGGGTAATTTTCAAAGTCAATCCAAATCACTTCTATGTGGTTAACATAGAAAGACCTGACTTGTCAATCTACCTTGAGAGTAATTACCCATTCCAGAAAACCATTGAACACATAAGCTCTATATAGCAGTATGTTGTCAAATTAGGGCCAAGTGTAGTATCTGAGTAATAAATTTTTAGCTCAGAAACATGCACTTCAAACCTCTCAAAAAGGTACAGTACATTTATTTTGTTCGGTTATAAGTATTTGTGGCTAAGGAGCGATTTCATTTTTGCTCAAATGTGGTTTTAAGAAAAATAACAAATTCAAATAAAATATCTTCACTTCCAAGAAAATTTTAATTTTGTTTATTATTTTTTGACTAATAATTTAAATATTTAACTATGGCAAAAATGTACTTACAAAGTATATTTGTGATAGTAATGGGTGAAATGCAGAAAAAAAATCGCTTAGAGCACTTTTATGTATCGCAAAAATGTAAATATTTCTGCAATGACCCAATCACTTTTTTTTTTCAATATATCGTCAATACATTTATTTTATTTTATTATAAATATTTTTGACTAAGGAACCATTTTAATTTTTGCTCAGTGTGTTTTTATAAGTAAATCTGGTTCGAAAAAAAAATAACAATTCAAATAAAACATCTTCTCCAAAGAAGATTGAATTTTGTTTATTATTTTTAGACCAAGAATTTAAATATTTAACTATGACAAAAATGTACATTTAAAGCATATTTGTCATAGTAATGGTTGAAATGCAGAAAAAATTAAGTTTCAGAAATGACAATATTTAATTGATTTCTTGGCATTGTTTTATGTTTCAAGAACATAATTACTTTAAAATTAAACTGCACTTCTGAAAAGTTATTTATTAGCTATTACATGAATTTTTTATCTATATATTTCAAAAAGGTACTAAAGCGAAAGCAGCAATAATAAAGCTGGGATCAAGGCACTATTAATATTCTGTTACTATGGAACTCACTGTTCTACCCTCGTATAAAATAATTCTCTTAAATCTATTATTCTCTTCGATCTTCGCCTATATTTTAAATATCTATATTTATTTCTAGCTTATTCCTTCAAAGTTCGTAATTTGATGGTCACAAGAGATTCAATCAATTTACACAGCTTTAAAATTCAGTGGGATCCTCCAGTTGGACAACCTCAGCTGGATTTTGAATACAAACCTGCTTTTAGGTAAGTATTTTTTTATTCTTTTTTTGCTCTGAGTTGCTTTTTAAAATCTTACATAAATGTACTAAAAACAATGTATGGTTTATTAAATGTATAATATATTTTTCACAATTTATTCTACCTATCATCATATAGCATTTTTGTTGTATCCTAATCAATGATGTGGTGAGAATGTTCTCATTGTAACAAAATTTTCCACACAAATTATATTTACATTATCTGTTTAAAGTTTTGTAGCTTAAGTTCTCATGACTCGACAAAAAATTAAGAAATTGATTGACATATTTTTAGAATATATTTTAATGTGTTTATTTAAGAATATGATGTATAATATGATTTTGACTAAAATTTTAAATACCACTATGATACTATCACAATACACCCAAATTTGAACATTTTGGCATTTGTCTAAATTTATAATGTTACTTTTGTATTTATAATGGTGCCTTTCATCTAGTTTTTTTTAACTGTGACCGTGAGCTTGGTTAAGCCAGGTTGCCTGTGGTGCCGTGACCAGGATCCAACTGTTGTGAGGGGCTGCCTCAGGCACGTGGTGTATAGTGTAGTTAAACTTCAAGTTCACTAGTCGATCAACATCGAAATGATGACACTAATATCTTCGGGATCACTTGTCTTTTATTTTAATCCGCATCACAAATTAGAGGCACAATACCTCAGAAAACACTGGAACTAATCCATAATTTTGTTCTATTACTTCGAAGAACACGTGTCTCCTTCTCTACATGCTCAACTGTTAGTTTTTCAAAAAATCAATGTACGAAAATGTAAACCTATTTGAATTACCAAATTCACATAAGTGCGCTATTTCAGTAATACCAGAATAATAATAATATAGAGAATAAACTTATCTCCTGAGCATGCAGAAAAGAAAAGCGAATCTTGACTGTTCTGAGAGCACCAACACAAATCGAATGATAGCGTCCGGCTTAGCCAAGCTCACGGTCGCAGTTTAAAAAAACTGGGTGCAAGGCACTGTTACAAAAGTAACATTATAAATTTAGACAAATGCCAAAATGTTAAAATTTGGGTGTATTGTGATAGTATCATCACAACTACTCTTCAGATTTAATTTAAATTTAAATAAGTTAAAAAGAGAAAATATATTTTTAAAAAAAGATTCATGTTAGCTTATTCATTTTTTTATAAACAAATATTCTGCTTTTTTTATTACTGTTTTATAAAACAATCAATATTTTAGTATTTTATTACGATTTTCAAAATAAACTATATTTTATTGTTCTTTTGAAAAGATATTTTTATCATTTGTTGATAATTTCTATTATCCAAATACCATTTTACCCGATTGTTCAAGGACCATGTGTTCCCAACCTTTTTCTAAAAAAGAAAGAAAGAAAATTGTGAAAGTGCTTCTTTATTTTTAGAATATATAAAAGATCTCAAAAATTGCTCTCTTTTCTTTTTGGTCCCTTGGTGACCTCGAAAAGAAACTCATGCTCTTTCCACATAGTTTCAAATGGAAAGTAGCTTCTAATAAAAGAACAGCTTTAAAAATGTTCTCATGTAGCTTCTAATAAGGGTACAGGTTTCAAATAAAAATTTTAAAAATTTAACTTTTAAACATGCTATTTATAATATGCTATAATAGACACTACTATAATTGCTAATGCTAAGTCTGGAAAAAGTAAAGGGAAATTACTTAAAAACATTCTCAAACCCGTTTTTTTTTTTTAATTTTCCAATTATCAAGATTTTCTATTATCCAAATTGGCGGCTTTGGTCAGGATAATTGGCACTCTGTTGTATTTTTATTTTTTATAAAACGTGTTAAGCCAGAATGTTTATCAAATATTTTATGTAATTGACTGTATTTATAAATTAAAGTAAATTTTCTTGCTTGTTTCTGAAATTTTTGACAAAAACTTATGTATCTTTTAATTGTTGTTTCAGGGAGGCAACAGCTTCTGATTGGCTAAATAAGACTTGGATTAAAGATAACAACTATAAATTTGAACAGCTGAAATCTGGTACAGCTTACGTTGTAACAGTTTACACTCGATTAAAATCTCATCCTGAAGTGGCGTCTCCAACTGAGTTTCTCACCATTACCACAGAATGGGAAGGTATTTTAAAAATTTTATTCTTAATCTAAAACTTGTTTTTTAGTGAAAAATATTTTTGTGCAAAATATTTGCTGCTTTTTAGCTCCCATGTACCCACAACATGTCCATGTAAACATTTACCATGCAAAGCATGTGCTTGTGACCTGGATGCAACCATCTAATATGAATGGTATCACTGGTTATCAGGTAAAAAGAAAATTATTTTAACATTTATGCTCTTAATTTTGAATGAAATAATTAACATCGTCATTAATTATTTTATTTTTCTATTTAGATTTACTTTTCACCTCCATATCCTCCGCATTTTGAAAAAGTACAAGAATTAGTTTTGTCTCATGAAATCAAATTTGAATTTGTACCAGGTGTCAACTATACATTTTGGGTAAATAATTATTTATTGTGTTAAGAGAACTAGTATATTGTATATCTTAAAAAATTTATTCCTTCTTTATAATTTTATCAACTTTTTAAAAATTTCTTTGTATATATATAAAATATTTGAAGTAAAGAATGAAAAAAGTAGGTATCTAAGGAAAGAAATGGGACAAAAGTTATCAGTTTAGTTTTTTTCTTTTTTTTTTTTTTCTTAATATTTATTGCGCATACTATTTTTTTTTTTTTTTTTTTTTTTTTTTTTTTTTTTTTTTTTTTTTTTTTTTGGCTTGATTACTCTGTAAATTGCATTATTTATGTTCTTATAGGTTGTTATAAAAGTACATCATCAGCTTAATTTTTTTTCCTTTCTATTTATTGCACACACATTTTTTTGTGCTTGATTGTCGGTCTGTAAAATGCATTATTTGTGCTTTTATATGTTATTTTTATTTTAATTTAATCTTTTAAACTATTTTGTAGTTTATTTAATCCTTCAGTTTTTATGAGTAATAATTAACTTGTTATAATTTTTTACCACATCAGAATAACCAATAAAATTTAACTCACTAACTAATAGTTTTATGTACACTTTCTATTTACCGCATTTACAATAGTATATATTGAGACTCACCTCTGGATAAATTTTTTATTAACCAAGTATCTGCAATCCTTAAAAACTTTCTTTTCCCTGTTTTTTTTTTTTCTTCCACGTGTTGATCAACAAAAAAGGAAAAAATAGTTATTCAATTAGTTTTTAGGTGAAATTTATGTATGAATTTGTCCAACTATGAAACGCTTGGTGGGTTAAGCAAAACAGAAAATAATCTTTTAACTTTTTCTTTTGATAGATGACATCTTTGAATAGAGATTTAGAAGGTCCCAAATCAGATCCATTTGTCATTGAATTCGCTCAAGATTCAGTCTTGAGTCCTGTGAGAAATCTTCACGTTGTATCTACAACTGCTAGCTCTGCAACTGTTGCCTGGTACCCACCATCTGATAGAGGAAAAGGTTATACTGTAACTTACTGGCCTGAATATCTCGATGAAAACTTTGCCCTTTTTACCCCATATGGTATAACGACCAGGCAAAACACAACTAAAGAAACCATAACTCGTAAGTAAATTTTAATATTAAGCTTTTACTTAACTAAATGAATTTCTTTAATTTTATTTATACATTTCTGTTGATGCTGTTTTTATTGTACTAATCTATTCATATAACCATCCAATAAAAGTAAAAGGAAATTTGGCAATTAATGCAGGCTGGAAAAATTTTAAGTTTTCATAACAAAATTACTTTAAGTCAGCCGATATTTTTGTTTAAAATATATAAAGTTGAAATTGCGCGAAACTTTGGTTTTAATGCAAACTCTTTGCATATAAGTTTTTTGTAAAAATGTATGTAGGTACAAAATACAACAGTAAATACTAATTAGCAATACCTCTGTTATTTGGAAGACAAGGATTCTTTTCTGTATTATTTTGCTATTTTTAAAATTATTTTTGTGTACAGTTTTTATCAGATAGTGAAATTTTATCCAAGTTCCTAGTGAATATCAATATTTTAAAAAATTTGTAAATGTGTGTTATTAATTGGAGATGCGACTATATGACTAATAAATGTAATATAACAGGCAAATCTTTTGTGACTAGCTTGGTTCTCATTTGAGCTCTTTACTGCATTTTGCTTTAAAAATATATTATGGAAAAAGCATTTGGCAAAAATTCTGTTCAAATATGCCCCTCTTTTGTGTTACCCTTTGTAGAGAAAAGCTTATTTTCTAGATGTATGCTATTTTGTAATTAAAAACCAGTAGCTTTTGTGGTGTATTTACCTATTTTTGAAAAGCAATAATGAATTTATGTATGACTCAACTGTTGTTCATTTAGACAAAGAAATACCTGGGATTTTGGGGCCAAGTATGTTAATTTTAAACTGTATAAAATAATATTAATAAAAATAATGTTTATTTTAAACCTTTTATCTGATTATCTTATTACTTATTTATCTACTTTTCTAAATATTTTTTAGAATTTAGAGGAAATTAATTTCTTACTTTTCTTTTATTGTTTAGTCAAAGAACTTGCCCCTGGTGCAAAGTACATTTTCAAGATATATGCTTGGAAAGGTGACTTTAAAGGACCAGTCGAGGTGATAGATGTAATAACAAAAGGTATTTTTTTATTTATTATAAATAATAATTACAAAATAAAGTTTCACAACTATATTTCTCACTATAACCATTTTCTCATAATATCAAATTTGTAATTTTTTGTATTTTGAATATAAGGAAATTAATTATTTGAATTGTCTTTATTCACCTAAAAATATATTCCAGAAACAACGCATAATTTAAATTTTCCACCTTCTGTGCTAAAATACTTTGAAATACAATTCTTACTTATCTTACTTTTAAAACAACATAGTAGTTTTTTAATATAATTAAGTATTACATTAGTAACTGTTATTTGTAAATAGTAACAAGTTTATTTTTAACGCTAATTAACTAAACATTCATCTAATAGACTATTGGCTTTAAGTAGTTTTGCTAAGTTATAGGGTTACCACAACATATTTAAAGATTAAATGCATTAAATTTTATCACTATTTTTATTCTTATGAAAATTAAAAAGTATTTTCCTTAAACTACATGAATTTGCTAGATTTAAATGAAGAAAGTATAAAAATAGAGACTTGTATAAATCTATGAGTTGAATTATTTGGCTTGGAATGAAACTGATGTATGTTTACTTTTTCCAGGTTAAATATCAGCCTAAGCAAATGAAATTTTTTTTTTAAATGAAAGTTATTGCTGGAGTAGTGTCACCAGATTGATTTAGGTTTTTAATTTCTTTCAAGACCCTAAATCATTTCTAAATTATGTGTTCTTAAAATTCAATTCATTCATAAAATTTTCTACTCATTCATTCAGTGCCTCCAACCATCTATTTTTCTTTATTTTGATTCGAATGATGGGAACCTTATGTTTTTTCTAAGATGCATCATTTTAATAAATATTCATCCATTTTTTAATATGATTAATTGGCTCCAATAATAAATTACTTTATTGTTAGTTAAGTTTCAGTACTTTTTCTTTGCAGTTTTACTATCTTTATAAAAGCTCATGATTATTTTTTTCTCTATCTGTAGGTGTTCCATTACCTAATGTTACGTTGTTGGCTAAAACATCAGTTACTGAAAATTCTATAGAAATCTTTTGGGAAGCTCCTAAATATGTTACACCTGTTGAGTGGTCCTATGGGATATATGTGTATTCTTCACTCTCACATTCTTATGGTAATTTAATATACAATATAACTAAAGATTGTGTCTGAAAGTTATTAAAATATATTTGATAGATAAACCTTGTTAATAATGAATTTTTATGTCAGCACATATTCTATATACCTTGTATGTGCGGAATGTAATTTAAAATGATAATCTGAAAACGATTGCTGTTATCAAATATTAATATAATATGGTTAATTTGACTGCTAAGCACCAGCTGCATTCTATTGGCCAGCTATTCTTAATCACCACTTTTTAAAACATGCGTCTACTTTTTCGAAAATTAACAGCTTTTAAACATTTTTTAAAAAAACTGTTTTTATCATTCAATGTAAAGCATTTTTTTAAGCGTTTCTTAAAATATGGTAAGCATTCATTTCTGAATTCATTCTGAATATTCATTTCTGAAATTAAGTACAAATTTTAAAAGCAAATACAAAAATGTAATTTTCTGAATATTATAAAATATCGGCAAAAATAGCAAACATTAGCAAAAAAATTTTTAATCACCATTTATTATATTTATTCTCCTCTAGCCTTTGTCGAATGTTAATTTTGCCCCACTGTAACATTATTTAAAATTTTGGGTTGACTATATTTAAGGGTGCCCCTTGATTCTCGCCAAGTTGTGATCGCGGTTGATCGCCAAGCTGGGCAATGTTGAAATCCAATCGTGATTCTGATTGGTTTAGATTTCAGCATTATTTTTAAATGTTCAACACGGTATATGTAATTTCAAAGGTCCGTTAGTTCTACTTTGGATACTGGCTGGTAAGGTTAATTTTGCTTCTGGTCAATAAGAACGAAGGTATGTGGGCCGTCATAAAAAGGGACTTAAGAAAAAAATGTCACCTCCAGTCCGGTACCACAGACGCCATTTTCGTTTCGTATTTCACCGAACTTATGTGGCGATGGAGGTACGCAGATTCTATTCATGATAAATTTATATAGTATCTAACTGCTATTAGAGAATTCTGTGCACCTCAATCTAAAGATATTCAAGCTTAATCAAGAAGTGAGATGTTTTTTTTTTCCTTTTCTTCCTGTGCTTACACCATTAATTTTTGTTTTGATTCAAAATGCATTTTATTGGGTTTATTAATTTTGCTTATATTGGGTTCATTTCAATTTTATAAAGTTTTGGTCGATGTTTTGTTGAAATTTTCCAAATGTGTTATTGAAATATCATTATGTTTTGGCCGGCATTATTAAACTGTTACCACGGTGTTCCTCGCAAACAGGAATGGCGCCAAACATAAGTCCCCAATTTTGCCAAGGTGCACCCTTAAGTATATTTTTACAAGGATCACGGGTTAGAGTCTCTTGCTGCCAGGCTAATCATGGAGGGTTTTCGTTGTAACACAAATGTGGGTTAGACTCAAAAGGTTCTCCACAAGGGCGAATTTCTCCCAATACTTGATCCAGGAGTTCTTTTGGATTGGATTCAAAATTACAAGGCTACGGAGTTGAACATTAAACTCAAAATTAAGTCAACTGTTTAACGATTGTTATAAAAAAATGATACAGTTTGAGCCATGATGGCTCAGGGGATAGAGTGCTCATCTCACAATGAGGTGGTAAATCTAGTTCGAATCCCCAACGTTGGCTTTTACGTATGAATTCTGAATCCAACCCCAGTACTGACATAAAATATCCCCAATGATCATGGGTTAGAGTCTCTTTTTGATGTAGGGCTAACCATAGGAGGTTTTTGTGATTTTCCTCTCTATGTGACATAAATGAGGGTTAATTCCATCAAAAAGTTCTCCACGAAGGCTAGTTTGTCCTAATGCTTGATCTAGGAGTTCCTTTGTCTTCTGGGTTGGGTTCAAAATTACAAGTCCATTAATAGTCCTAAGCTTAGAATTGGGTGGGCTGTTCTAAGCTTCTTGTCTATAATAATTTATTTCATTTAAATTTGGTGATTGGAAAAGAATGTTATTTTCAACAGTATCTAAGAATTGTTTTTCTTTCACTAATTCATAGGCAAATAGCTTATCCAATTTACAATTGCAAAAATAATTTTTATATTTAATGAGACTTTTGACTGAGAAAGTTACTAAATGTAAAAATATATTGTTTTTCAGAATTGTATGATATAACAACAGACACAAATACCACAATAAAGCATTTATCTTCTTGTACGATATATGAGTATGAGGTAAGAGTGGTTCAACCCCTTGGTTTCGGACCTGCTGGAAGTGGCTATGCTGTAACTAAATTTGATAAATTAGATCCACCACGGGATTTAACTGTGGAGCATACATCTCTGGATTTCATGAAGATTTCTTGGAAATCTTCTTGTGCTGTAATAGAAGAAGAAATCGGCTATAAGGTAAAAATTTACTTGCAATATGGTTCTCAGTATTCTTCATAATCAATATTCATGAAGTAAATTCTGATTTTTGCTTTAGTTTTAAGTCTGTGGAAAATATTTTCAGTATAAACTCAATATGTCCCAATTTGAGTCCTTCTTAAATAGTGTGTGATAAAAAATAAAATAAATAAGAAATATTTTTCACTGTCACCAAAAAAGACTTCATTGATATCCCCTACCTCATAAAATTAAAAAATAATGAGTGCTTGAATAATATTTATACATTATCAAGAAACATTTCTCTTTTTTTTTTTTCATAAAAGAAGGAAATTCTTAAGAATTCTGAAACTGAAAATTTTCATAATGAATATTTTAATGGGTAAACAACACTTTTAATGTATTAAATTAATTTGCATCATTTTGTTGACACACATCATGCTGCCCAATGGTTGTATTATCAATTTTTAAATTGCTTGCAGAATAATTACTACTTTTCTGTTTTAGGTTTTGATCAAAGATTTAGCCTTAAATAAACAACACTGGATTGGTATTGCACCCAGAACTGACCATGAAATATCCTTCCAATATGCTATTCACATGGGTGGTAATTATTCAGTTGAAGTTCAAACGAATTTCAGAAATTCAAGGCCAGCCAGTCCTGTGCTCTACATTCCACCATCTTTACCACGTGTTTTTGAAGTGAAAGCTATTCGAGAGAAAAATGGTTCCATTTTTGTTACCTGGGAAGAAGTAAATTGGCCTACAGAATTGAAAGACCACAAGTAATTTTATCTAAAATTTGTATTTAAAACATGCAATGTTGTTAGTTTTTCTTTAAAGATGTAAAAAATTTCGTTTTTCTAAAATCTAAGAGTGTTTGTGCTAATTAAGCTAATTAACAAAAATTTAAATTATAAAATTTTCGAATATTCTATCTAGATCTAGTTAATTGTTAAGACATTAATAGCTTAGTCTAAAAAATAAATGTCTAAATTAAATGATTTTGATTTTGCATTATTCAACTAAAAGCATTGTAAAATAATTTTTTCCCTGTATAATTTATAATGTTAAATTACAAATTATACAAGAAAAATAGACTATTTTATTTTTCTAGACAATTTTTTGCCATATAATTTATCTATTGGGTGCTCAAATTCATGCAAGAAGAAATTTCATTAAAAAGCACTTTAAATTGCAACTTTGACTTGTGTAGTATACAGTTTATGTATGTAAGAGCTTCTTGAATGAATGATGACATGTAGGCAATCTTTTACTGAAATTTTCAATATCTGTTTTGCATAGATGTGACTTAGTTCGATTGATGCAATGCTTTGTTTTGTCCTGCAAGGTGTGAGTGGTTATGGGCTTGTTGGCATAAAACTTTGAAGAAAAAGAAAGGAAACACAGAAATTAACGAAAATCCTAGGGCATAAAATTGCATAATCTTGGCAGCCTATTCTGATGTCAAAAATGGGAAATTACACAACTAGAGAATGACTCATTATCTTTCAGAAAAAAGAAGAAAAACTTGTTTTCATTAAAAGATTGAATTTTAAAAACATTGAACTCTCAGTTGTCATTAAAATTATCAAATTGATGAAAATTATCAAAATCTATGCCTTATTCCCATTTTTTGCACATTTTTATGAAAGCAGATAATGCCTTATTGGAGGGAGTTTTTAAATGTTAAGAAATTAGACCACAAATGTTTTTCATTTTCTCAAAACTATGGCTTCTATGTCTTTTCACCATATTAACGTTTCTTGCCATTTTCAGAATTATCATACAGAGAGCTGGCTAAAGGTAGGCTAAACTTGACCTAACAGTCATCAGTAACTGTTTCAAACTCAATCAGTCACGAAAATCATACATTATTTATTTAAAAAAAGCATGATTTCATGCAGAACCTTCAAAAAACTACCCTAAAGCTTGCAATTATTTTTCCAGAAGATTATGTTTTTTGAATCAATGCTGTTTCCTTCTGTTTGAAAACCCTCAGTTCAAGCTAATAACAGTTATGATTGTTGCCATTTCACTGAGTACCTAAATTTGTTTCGATGATAATTCTAAAATTGTTAGTATAGTTAAATTTATTCATATGATGACTTAATTTAATTCCTCTCCATTTGTTATCTTTAGATTTGTCTACTGTATATGGTTGAGCAGTTTCAGAGACATGACTGGTGCATTTCAGTACAACGTCACAAAACCGCCATTCTTTCTGGATTCTTATCCTTTTGCTTGGGACACTGTATATCTTACAATTAATGTGGTGGAAGAACATGGTTATTCTAGTCCTTTATCTGATGTATTTGATCTTGGAAGTGATGAAAGTGAGTTACTATTTTCTAATTGTGTGTTTTTAAGAACCTATATTTTCATTTTTAGCTGATAAGTTTTAAACAAACTAAGCTCAGTTATTGATTGCTTCAAATGTATAATTTATGTAATTTTTAATGAAAAAAGGTAAAAAATATTATTTTACTTTTTAGGATATGCAGCATCTGTTGTTCTCACTCCAACAAGTCTAGTCGGTGTTGGTGTTGGCATATCTATTGTTTTTATAGTACTCATTGGCACATTAATATTCTTTGTTGTGCGCCATCGTCGATTGCAAAGAAGCTTTTTGTCTTTTGCAAACAGTCACTATGATACTAGATCTGGTGCTGCTACTTTCTCAACTGGAGATGACTTAGGTTTGTAATAGAAATAACTCTTTAGTGATTTTTAAACATTTATTGTTACAGTGGAACCCCAATCTTAATTTTATCATCATTGAAAAATGCAGGAAACAGGAAAGTTTAAAATCTAGGTAAAAAATATCAGCATATTTTTCAAAAATGGGCATTTGCAAAATGAATAAAAATCTTATAGTAATCTTTTCTTTTTTGACATAATTTCACAAATATCTCACCCAATTTGCGAATTTGCTTTTTTTTGCATTCACAAAAAATATTATTTCAAAGTTTTTATGCTGTGAATACTTGATCAGTGATCAGCTGTGAATGTTCTCTCTGATATTTCTTAATTGTCTTCATTCTGAAGAAAGCATTAAATCAGATATTGAAGGAATCAAAAAGGTGTGAAATCTGTGTCACATCGACTTACACAAGATTTTCAGCCACACAATTTCATTCTGAGGAGCCAATGGTCCTGTTGAATTTCGAGAAGCCTGCTTCATAAAACCCATTTGTAATTCGTATTAGTGGACGCTGTCTAAACAATTATTTTTGCTTTCGAAGCATCTTGCAGATCTCCAGAATCACGAAAAAGAAATGATTTCCTAGTTAGTTGCTTATTGTAATGTCCTTTAAATATCATAAAGGTTGAAATTTGCTGAAATGAATTTCCCTTGCAAATTTTATGAGTTATGTTACCATATTTCCTTTACAAAATCATGTGCTTCCTGCCACCTTTCTTATTTTGTCTCGAGGAGGGAGATGTCCTTTTGCACACAAAAGGATGAAATAGAAAAAATACCGAAGCAGCTTTAAACAGTTTTAAAAAAATTTTTAAAAGAAGCAGAAAAATTTGTATGAGCTTTATAGAAAATAATCATTTTAATCTGTTAGGAAAAAGCGTATAAAGCGTGATTTTCTTAAAAGGGGTAATTTAAAATCCTTGATATTTAATATGAGCATAGGCAATTTACACGGACCAGCAGAAAATGACGAAAGAAGTAGAATAAGGTATGAAACGGGCAACATAAAACCGAAGTGGTGCTATGGTTTATTTTAAGATATGTAGAATTCATTTAAATTTTCCTCACTAAACTTGAAGAGGATTTTTTTTATATATACTTTATGCACTCAAGTATCTATCTAATAATAAAACTGAAATTGTTTTTTAATAACACATAAGGCCTATTTATTTTATAATAAATGGATATACCTTTTTTATAGAAACTTTTTTCAATATCTCATTGTCACTCGGCCACCTTTTAATACAGTGATGATTTTCTTCTTCAGAATATTGACAAAATATTTCTGTCACATTGGTAGCACTTAAGTGGTGTATCTACTTGACAGGTGGATCTTTCAACTTCATCCTAATACTCAATCAGTATTGTGTTGAATCGGGATTTATCAATGCAACAAAGTGAAGCCTCCATCATTTTTATCAAATCATCTTCATGCATAAAAAAAGAAAACGAAACTAGCACATGTGTGAAAAAATATTTTCACTCCCAGTAAATTTCTTGTGGAGTGAAAGTCAAACCCTTTATGTGAAATGCACATCTAGAAGCCTATTTGTGAATACCCCTAATCTTTAGAATAAATAATTGGATGCATTATAGGATGTAATTGTTTAACAACAATCAGGGTTCCCATGGGTCTGAGGGAACAGAAAAAACCTGGAATTATCGGGAATTTTAACTCTAAAAAGCAGGGAATGGTCAGGGAAATTTGCAATGTTTTATAAAAAAAAACTGGAAAATTCCTACAATATAACTGGAAAATTACCAGTCTTAGAATTGTCAGTAACAGTAATCAGTTATTGAGATTANAATAAATAATTGTATGTAATTGTTTAACAACAATCAGGGTTCCCATGGGTCTGAGGGAACAGAAAAAACCTGGAATTATCTGGGATTTTAATTTTAACTCTCAAAAGCTGGGAATAGTCAGGGAAATTTGCAATGTTTTATAAAAAAAACTGGAAAATTCCTACAATATAACTGAAAAATTACCAGTCTTAGAATTGTCAGTAGCAGTAATCAGTTATTGAGATTAGAGTTAAGTAATTTTTACATCTATTACAATTATTTTATGAAATTCCACTTTTTAGCAAAACTTTTCCATGTTCCATTCTCATTCTATTATATGTATTTGCTCACAAAATCTAATTGACATTATAAATAAAAAATGAAAAAAAAGTTTTCTGATGAAAAATTGCATGGTATAGATAAAATATGCTATGGATTTTCATTGAAATTTACCTGATATGCCGGAAAAGTCAGGGAATTTCCTTTCTGAAATTGAGTGGGAACCCTGATAATGTTTAAGTGTGTTTTCTTATTTTGACTACTGTTCATGTGAAATAATAATCATAAAGCATGTCAGCCTTACACTAACCCTCTAGCAGCAACACTTTGATGTAGTTGCTCAACTACTAAAAATTGTTGGTGTTTATAATGAAATGGTTGCTCAGTGCATAAAAAATTAAAAGCTGATTGGCACTTTCTCAAATTTCTTTACTTGGCTTTTTTTATTTTTTTTTATTTGGTGACTATAAATCATTATTTATTGGTTTCTCATTTGCAATTTTAGATGGGTGCTTTTTTATGAATTTTTTCTTGAAATTTTAATCATATTTTCTTATTTGACAAACACTTTTCTATAATAACACTAATTTCTTGTTGTTTAGTTAGTAAATTGGGATTAAAGCTTACCATAATTTTATTTTTTTGTATTTGCACATTTTTTTGTATTTATTTATTTTCTTCTATCTACTGTGCACTGAGAATATTTTACCTCTTTTTTTTCTTTTGCATGTTTTCTTTGAACTTTTTAAAATGATTATTACTTAATTCAAAACTATTCACTCATTTTATTAAAATAATAAATTTGGGACTTTTTTGCTATGAGACTTTTATCACTATATTAATCTCTGTTTTTTTATCTTTAAATCATTTTTTTACTTTTTTTTTCCAGATGAAGAGGAGGAATCTCCAATGATCCGTGGTTTTTCTGATGATGAACCCTTAGTGATAGCTTAAGTACTTTGAAGAGTTAATGTTTTTAACATTTGAACTTGCCATGAGAGAAATTTAAGTCATTATTGCTTTTCATTTATTTCAGAATATTTTTTAATGTATCTTGAGAAATATTTTATACTTTTTAGTGCATTTATTGTTGTCAGAAATAGTTATTTCTCAAAAATGCTTTGTAAACGGTTACTTTAAAAATAGCATTATACTTTTTTGATAGACTTTGAGTATTGAATTTTTGTTAAACATTGCACATTGTATTGCTAATTGGAACATAATAATAATTACTTACATATACTTTTATTGCATTTTTTATAAAAATTGATATTTTATCTTTCTGTCCTTAAATTCATCTTTAATGAGATATCAATTATTACAGATTTCTTTAATTTATATTAATTCATTCTTTTGACTACAAAAATATCTAAAATTTTTGAAATCTGAAGAAAGTTCAATCACCTGATTTGTTTTTTCTCCCGCTTCCAATGAACCTTTTTTTTTCCTTGTAAGTTCTTTTTCCTCCCCCCATATTTTTCCCTTTACCTAAGAGCCAGGCGTTAGCAGAGCAAAATATTTTATCTTCATTTTCAAATTTGTTATTTTATAAATCACTGCTGTTTTAAAAGGATGTTACACCTTGGGAGAAACTTTTCATCACAAATTCTGTTTTATCTTCATTGGTGTTTTAAAGTTAAAAGAAAGTGAATCCAGTCATACCTAGAGTAAGCCATGAAGTTTGAAACATTGAAAAAATATTTTCAAAATACCAAAATCCAAACAAATTATTGGAGAACTTTCCCACAACACAAATCCTCTCATAATTTGTTAACATTTCAATATTTTGAAAATTTTTCAGTGTTTGAAATTTCATTGTTTGTCTGAACCCACTCTTTCTAAACTTAAGTTTTTAAATGACTTACGGAGTTGAAAGAGAATTTGCCGTGAAGGAATTCTTCCATGGTATAGCATCCTTTTAATAGAGAAAGTTTTTAATCTCATAAAGAGAACTGATAACTTTTTTTTACTCTGCTATAATGGTTTTAATTATTATAAAAATATTAGAAAACAACAAAACTTATCTTTATACAATTCTCCTTTTTTAAACATTTTATTTCTTAACTGAGCATTTACTCTCATCATAATAATTTGTTTCTATTTTAATCTTCGGAATCTTAAAGAATCGGAACTTTCGGCCGTTTTAAATTTTTTTATGCAGTTTTCCACTTAAATTACGAATTTTATGTATTTAAAATTCACCAAATAAAGTTCTCTATATAAATGCTGTGAATTAGGTATTTGAACTGATGTAATTTCAAAAATTATTATTTTTAGATATTATTAAAACGTTTCCTCACACGTTTAATGCTTTCTTGTATTTATATTTTATCCAAGTCTGGCTTTGCACAGTTCACTTTTAAGAGCTTGATAAATTAAGTATTTATATACTTGTGACTGTAAATGATTGTTTATTAGATCTACTAGCATGTAATACATAGAAATGGATTTAACATTTAAAGAATTGATATAAGTTTTCACAAAGCTTTTCGAGTACAATGTCCTGACTAAATTTACATTCTTTTGTAAAAGAAACATAAAACTGTGATATTGATCTAAAATGTTTCAAGACTTAATATTTCTTGCCACCATTCAAATCTATAGTTTCATTCCAACTTTGTATATTATGTTTGAACACTTTCACTTTAGTTTTTCTGAAATATTAACTCATACTTTAAATGAAATCTTACCTAACTCATTAACATGTAAGCAGTTATGATAATTGTTGTAATATAAAGAGTTTCTATGGTATTATATAATTTATATGTTGTTTTGTCCGGATTTATATATACCTATATGTATATTTGTATTTTATTCCAGAGTACACACTCTAAATTTGTCCCTTTGTTTGTAAGAATATGTGTTTTATATTTACTATTTTTGCATTTACCCTTTATGTGATATTTCCTTTACGGATTTTGTGATATATGTTAATCAGTTGATGTACTACTGATTTCTGTTGCTTTTCAGTAACTTTTGAAAATGAGTTTTACCTTCAGATATTTAATGTATCGTTCCTTAGTATAAAAAATATGTAGGCAAACTCTGCAATCATGTTTTCTATAGAAAAACTGACAATATATTGCTGTATCACAATTCGTTACCTGAAAATGTTTTGATACGACTTATTTTAAGACTCAATAATTATAATATGAATCAATAATTTTAATTTTGTTCTTCAAGTGTTCTTTTATCATATGGAATAACTCTTTTTAGAAATTTTATCGCTGTTGTAGGTTCATAGGAGTTTTTCATGACCGTTAGGTTAAATTTTGTCCACCTTTTGAGCATCTTGTCATCGTCTACCATGTTAATTATCTATCATTTTTTGACAGTTAAGTAGAAACTACAATGTATTGCTGGACCACAATTGGCTGCATAAAAATGTCCTGATATGAATTTTTTTATTAAAAATAGCAATAGTTTTATGTTTGTTATTCAAGCACTGAAATGTTCTCTTACAAATCACTTAATTTTTTTTTAATCTAAAAAGTTAATATTTTTTGTCATATAATAATATAAAATTACCAATACAACTATTGTAGTTTTTAAAAGCAAAAAAAGGATATCTTTGATTGTTTGATGCATTTTATATTAATTTTACAAGAAAATTTTTGTATAATTTTTTTTCTTTTATTTCTGTTTATTAGCTCTCAATTAATCAGAGAATGTTACCTGTATGTTGTAACTCTCATCGTAACAACGTCGATCTCATGTAAACAACATCGTTGTACTGTTCACTTTTAAGATGAGCCTTTTCGTAGTTTCCATGCAATGTCATTATTCTTTATTTAGTTATAATTCTATAATCAATATTTTAAATGATTCTGTTTTTAAAAAAACTACAATAAAAGAAGTTAAACTCTTAAAGAATAATAAAATGCAATTCCCAATTATTAGAAACTTCTAAAACATTCGAACTGAATTTGGTTAAAAATGCATTAATCAAATTCGTAATTTCTAAATGTATATTTCATTTGAGTTTTTATTTTAATGAAAAAGTTGTAATAAGAAATATTGTTGGTGCAGCATTGTGAAATATTTTTTAAAATTTGCTTTTAAAAATTTTTAATTCATCACGAAATCGTTTGATTATAACAAAAAAATACAGATGGAATATCTCAGCTTTTCTCTTAAGATTAAAACCAACTAAACTTATATGTCTTTTTAAGTACAATTTCATCGGATCATCTTGTAACAAGCTCCAAAAACTCCAAGGCCCTTTTCTCTAAAAGGTGTATCTAGACACTTTTTGTGTAAAAAAATGTTCTACAGCAATTGTTTGCAAGTTATAAAAGAAAACTTTGTGTCAACATTATAAAAGCTACTAAGTATACAGTTTTTTAATGTTAAATAAGCTAAGAGTTGACTCAAACTATAGTTTAAACTTTTTCCTTCTGGCAGAAGTTCATGTAAAGTTGTTTTAGCATTTAGTTTGCTTTTATGTGTTGCATTTAAAAAACTTAAAAGAGGCCCTTCCTCTCCAGACGGAACTCAATTGTCGAAGGGGTGGAGGAAAAATTCTAAATATGCTTTTAATCCTTTTTATTTATTTTTCACAAATAAACTGATGATGGATATTTACTCCATTTGATAGTATCTTTCGATACATGCAACATACAAGGTCGCCACCCAAAACTTCCAAGACGGTGAGGGTAGTGGCCTCTTAACTAGTGTATCTAGTTTAGTAACATCTTTTAACCAAGAGTCAACATAGGCAATTATTGCGAAACTGTTATCCTTTTAATTGCACATTAGTACCATTTTTTGTATTTTTAAACGTTGAATGAAGTGGTAAAATTTTTTTAATATGTTTTTAATAAAACGTGATTTATTTCCTTTTCATGATTTCTTTATATTCCAAGAGTGGTGAAAAGTTTAACAGTATCTTGCCGTCTTTAGTAATGGAGATGTGATCTATGACAGAATCTTAATTTATTTCTTGTAGATTAATTTTATGAGATTGTGAAGAACTGATGGAATAGATTTGTAAATAAAAGTGTTTGTTTCAATAAAAATTGTTGTCACAAGAAATTTTTGAATTAGTTTGTTCATACATGACGTGTTTGATTTTTGTTTCTACAAAAAATTCTATAACAAATTTGTAACAACTCTTCCTCAAACTTCCTGTCTCTTTTTTTTTTTTAATCGCTTTAGGAAGTCATAGCAAGCTCTTAACTGATGTTGATGATTTTATCCCTTCATGTTTTTTGTCATTTGATAAAAATAATTTAAATACGAAATGCTTAACAGCGTTGTTTTGCTTTTTCTCTAACTATTTTGTACAATTATTGCCTTTTATAATGTGTGATAATTTAATAAATATTAGCTGAAAAATTCTAACATTTTTAATTTTGCATAGTATAATTCTTTGTACTAGCTTTATATTTAAAAGATACTCAAAGTTTGTTTTGAAATTACCTTAAGTAGGGAGCATGCCACTGTACATTTTTTATTTATTTTGAACTGCTTATTAGTTTTATTTAAACATCTACTGCAGTTCACACCAGCAAATATACCAAAAGAGTCTTTTTTTCATATAATCGATATTCAACTTTTGAATGTCTTATCTTACATGATATGTAAGATAACTGTTTTACTTGGCAACAGTTTACTTGGCTGAACTGTTGCCAAGTTCAGCCAAGAACTGTTTTACTTGGCAAAAAAGCTTACAGGTTGAAATGCAGTTCACTGGGTGCAGGTCTGTTAGAGGGTTAAATAATGCAAGGCTGATTGTACTCCGGAAAAAATCCGGATTTTTCGCTAACAGTGATCCGGAAGTTTCCGGGGATCGAAGGTTCAAACGTTTCAAAAAATCATTGATCACAGAAGTTTCCGGAAATCAAATTTTCAAAAGTAGAACTTAAAAACACAGTTTATTTTATTTGTTTGTAAGGGAGAGACAGAGAGATGCTTTATAAGCTTACATTTATGATTAATATTCATTTTTTATCAGTAAGTAGTTGTTCTAATCATAAACTCAAGAAAGAAAGACCTATTTGTAAATTTTAATTACTTCTCCAGGTTATCATAGGTATGTGTGAATGGTATAGGTATGTGTAAAATTTTAAATATATTTTAAGTAAACTAAGAAATATTGAGAAAAATTTTAAAAAAAACCTGGTTTAAATTTTTTTTTAATTTTTGAATTTAAAATTTTTTTTGTAACTCAAGAAATTTTCCGGAATTTTGACTTGGGCTCACAATCACCCCTGATAATGCTTAAAATTACAAAATTTCTTATACTTAGATAAAAATGCATAAATAAGAGTTATCCTCAAGTTGAGATACAGTCTAATTCCGTTATAGCGATTCTCCAATTATAACAACGACCATCCGTTAAACATAAAATTCCGTTTATTGTTCCTTAAATTCAATGCTATTTTAACACCCATTTTAGTGTCCCATCTAAACCGTTATTCCAACGAGCATTTCTTTGAAAACACCTTTAAAACAAAAATACTTCCATCACGAAATTTTCAAGGAAGTAATTTAAATTTCTCTTTCTTTTGATGTATAACACAATTAACGCAATGCATTTCGAATTTCCTTTGAATGATGGAGATACACAAACTAAGTTCCTTATCTCTGGCTGCGGGCATGACCTTTAGCAGGGGTCTGTCTAGGTTTATTTTTTTTTTTTTTTTGAGAGGTACCTATTTTGTGAAAATTTAGATATATTTTATGAAACTACCGTTTTTCCTAAAGTTGAATTTGTGAAAGTACCGCTAAACGGTAGTAAATTTGCCCTGGACACACCCCTGCCTTTAGTCAATTATAATTGAAATATCGATTGCTTTACATTATAGTCAAAATTCGTCATGCATTTATTAATTCTGAATAAATATGTTAAGTATTCCACAACACCTCATTGTAGATCTGAAGGGTCCTGGAGATTAAGGTTCCGCAATTTCGTGACCAACAGCATGATTTTGACAATGTAGTTAGCACTGTGCACAGGCCGCCTGTACTTCCCAGACAAGCTGATACACGTCTGAGCTGGGCGGGCTTCAAGCCGCCACTGGTGATCGAATCTCAGTTCTTACCGATAACAGTTTTCCTGCATCCTTCAAAAAAAAAAAGCTCAATGCTTATCGCAAATATACCATTCGAACCGATTCAGGAGTTTTTTTGAATTAGATGATTTCAAAGATAAAATCATTTGTTTTAATCAGCTCTACTTGTAAGTGATTTGATTTAGTTTACTTGTAAAGTAGATGTTACTTTATTTAAGTCACAGTAGAACTGCGCAATGGGCTATTGACGATGATCTGTTAAACATCCCTGGGGATGATCCGAAAACATTCCATCATAATTTTGATCCTCTGCTGAGGAGATCTCATTTGTCAAGCCAATTCCTGAATTTAGACATAGATTTGAAGGGGAAGAAGATTTTCTCCGAAGGTCACGGTACAGCTCAACGACCGACCATAGGACTTTCGATTCCACAGATTTTACGACCACATATATCGCATTTACTCGGTGGTTCCTTACCGGAGTCGAGGATTGAATACCGGACCGGATTCTGATTTTCTAACCACTGAGATAACACGGCCCCTGCTTGTTAAGTAACCGATATTTACTGTCTTAGTAGAACATTTGTTGCATAATATGAGTACCCAGTGGTTGGTGCTCGACGTCAGTTTCAAATTATTTAACTAGTTCAAAACGAATTAACTAGTCTATTGTTTAACAAGTTCAATTAGCCCACATTACTTGTGAAATATAAAAGCTACAACTCTTCCATGAAACTGAATGTTTGTCTGTTTGTAAACCTTTGACGCAGATGGGACACCGGTGTTCCTTTTATATATTTTTTTNATATATATTCTGGCACTAATTTCAATCAAAAATATATTTTTAGCTATAATAATCTCTCTAATAGTTATTAAAAAAATCTATTAGATTTTCGGAATTATATTTGTACTAAAATATAAAATCCAAAATAAGTAGTTTGAAAAAATTGTTTGTTTTTTTTTATTTTATTATTCATATTCAAAACTTCAACACTAGTCGATTTTGTAAATTAAAGAAATTTTAATGATGTGTAATTGTTTTTCTTATAGGTCTAAATAAGTGCGAATTTGAAAAATTATTGCTTGTAAGTGACCCGCATTTGGAAGATTTTACCTTTAACACAGAAAAATACGCTGATGTTTTATTTTGTATTTCATGACCATAAATTATTGAAACGCTAAATGTAATATTTTTCACTTATTTTAACATTAATTTTAATACAAAATAATGAAAATATATTTATTAAAAATCCGGATTTCCGAATTTTTCGCTACCAGTGATCCGGAAGTTTCCGGAGTTTCAAGGTCTAGAGTCAAAAAATCATTGATCACAGAAGTTTCCGGAAATCAAATTTTTAAAGGTGGAACTTAAAAACACAATTTATTTTATTTGTTTGTAAGGGAGAGCCAGAGAGATACTTCATAATCTTATATTCATGATTAATATTCATTTTTTATTAGTAAATAGTTGTTATTAGTAAATAGTTGTTATTAGTAAATAGTTGTTATGACCATAAACTCGACATATTTGTGAATTTTAATTACTTCTCCAGGTCATAGGTATGTGTAAAATTTTAAATATATTTTAAGTAAACTAAGAAATATTGAGAAAAAGGAAAAAATTCTTGTTTAAATTTTTTTTAATTTAAACTGTTTTTGTTTTAACTCAAAAAATTTTCCGGAATTTTGACTTGGGCTCACAATTACCCTTGAATGATTCAGTGAAACCTCTCGGGAGCAACCGCGCTCTCCGATAAACAGTAAAATGGTTGATGGAGGTTGATCGTTCTTAGTTGTTACCTCCATTGACTTCAAAATTGTTATAGAAGGTACATAATTTTTCGCAAATGATTTTAATTTTAGTCAGTGTCATTTTCTTGGTACGGAAATGCAACTTGTGTTGGCGTCATGAAAAGACGGATCTATGAATAAAATTTAACGACTATAAAAATTATCCTAACTGATATAATTATGTGTAAAAAAAAATGATATTATGAATAATGTAAAAACAATTCATATAATGAATGATAAAGCTATCTTAAATAAACAAACTTACGTTTTTTGTTTAAGTTGACATTTAAATTTATATCAGAAAAATTTGTTTTAAAAGGTGAGAAGAGGTTTATTTCTTTGTTTGAGATGATTGTTTTTTCTAATTTAACTTTCAACTCTTCTAGTAAATCATTGATAGCATCGTCTTCAGTGCACTCTGACTGTAACATGAGGTGGTATCGTCAAAGAGAGCTCTCTAAGAGCCTCATACCAATATTTTGAATAAATTTTTATCTATTTATTTGTTTTATTAAATTTTTTGTTTAGATATTTTTTTGTGTTTCCTTATTTGACCTTTTCCACATTTGCTGCAGACGTTCGTCCAGTCGCTTGGAGAGGTTTTAATAGTTTCTCCTAAAGGTTTTCTTCAATACAAAGTCTATGAAAAAAACTCCGTGCCTCCCAAAAGTGGTCGTAAATAAAGGTCGTCGGTACGTAGAAGTAGTCTTTCCTGGAGATTTCACTGTATTTGTCATACTGATCCTACTTTAAAAAAGAAAGTTCACTATCGATATTAAATCGTTATTCTCCAAAACTTCGACTGGGATGTGAGAAAAAAGAATTTTTTTATTGGATTATTGGCAATTTAAACTAAAGACTATTATACTTCTTATGCTTTTTAAGCTATTTAAAATATAACATCCCAGGCTACAGCCATAGCGACAACTCCATATAAATGAAAAATTTGTCTCGCTAAGTTTCTTGCCCGTTTTTAATAACAATACGTCTTCTTAGGTTCCATTTATAGATGAGCTTAAGTAATATTAAAGTGGATAGTTTTCGTGACTTGTAGGGATTGTGAACTGTACGTGACGTCACACACATGATTAGTATTTTAAGATTCAAGTGTTTATTTTGTTTATAGGTCTTTTGAAGCGAGAAACCTGAATGATATTTCAAAAAGAATTTCAAACTTAAGAAATTAAGTGGTGCAAAAACTGCTATTTGGTCAAGAATGTGCTTAGATTTGGTAAAATCTTAAATATTCTGAGCTAGCAGTGATCAATAGCATCATTTTCGGTGCAGTTAACCGACATCAATTTAGTTCGATGCATCTTTTTATGCTGAATCGTTTGAGGTAAAACAGAAATAGATGGTAAGATAAATAGTTAAGAAATTATGAGGTTTTTTTGTACACAAAGTACAATTTTTAATTTGCACTTATATACGCTTCTCATATTGCTATACAGACAAATAAGGTGTTATTTCCTATGTATTTTTTCTCGCTTGATCGAATGAAAACAAATACAAGTAAAAGGACTAATATTTCTAAAGTTGCAATGTTATATTTATAATTGCGTTAATCTATGTTATTAGTGTAATGAAATCAAGGATATGCATTTATTTAGCTCCACATTATAGAATCAGGAATTAAATTTCATAAATGCATATAAAATAATTTTCCGCCGTAGCAAAGGTCCTATTTTCTTAAAGAATAAAAATATCAAGAAAAGATATTAATATTACTGTTTATTTTTTAATTATTGTTTACTTATTATTGTTTATTATTTAATTTTAATTAATTATTGAATTAAGAATGTGCATTTGAATTTCTTTTCATTTTGCATGTTTGTTTATTATTCTTTAGCTTTAGTAAAACAAAAACGTCTAGCTTAATGATATTCGCTGAAATTATATCTTATACTATAATACGAGGAATGGTTGCCAAGTCGAAAATCGCCCCAGAATTAATAAACTCCGGTAAACTTGGGGGTCTGGGGTTTTTGGCCACGAGGAATCGATTGGCGCCGGTTTTGAAGCGCTACGGTCGAGCCATTCGGAGTTACAGATAGGATATTTTCAAACTTTATTAGTTCGCCATAATGGCTATAGATACTTTTCTCCACTCTTATAAATGTATGCTAATGCGAACCTTACAATTGAAATATTAATTTTCGACAACTTAAACCAATAATATACGAAGGAATTAATAATTTAATTGTAAGGTTCGCATTAGTTTACATTTATCAAAGTGGAGAAAAGTTTAACTTTTGTGTTAAAATCACCGTCAACAAAGTCCGACATTTCAACATTCATCAGATTTCAAGCTACATTTTCAACATGCAGAACGCACCTCTACATGAAATTCTTCAAGGAGCCGGAATTTTGGAACAACAAGCGATCAACTCAATTCTACCCGCAAATGGACAACTAGAAGATACCGTCATTGTCAGAATGCTTCTCCATTACGCCGAACAAGCTTACCCGACCGTCAAAGTTGCCGTACTTCACCCTGAATTTGTCGCACGCTTCTACGTTACAACAGCGGATGGCGCTTATGAAGGAATGGCTCTTCTCAACGATATCAGCGACCAGAACAAGGCTTCCAACTATCTATACGGCGTTCAACAAGGATTCGACGTGCTACTCATTCCCATTCACAAGAGAGCTCAAATGGATAGAGGCGAGCACTGGATGCTAGGAATTTACGAAGCAAGCTATGGAGAACGTCAACTATTAGTCTGCGATCCAGTCGACAACCCGCTGCCCATCGATGCTGTTTTGAGAAAAATACTGCGACACGTTTTGAATACCGTTGTTACGAATGAAAAGCTGAAAGGATGCATCGTGAAACCTCGCAACGCTTACAACCACCAAGATGACGCGTCTTCCTGCGGAGTTTACATCGTCTTTTATGCTCGACAATACCTCTCTCATCGACGCCTTTTCCTGGACAAGAATTTTCAAGAAGCGGATGAACGGAAGCAAATTTACGAATTCGTTGTGAACAGTGTCTTTAATTGTATAATTTTTTGTTATCAATTACATTTTATTTCCTATGACTTTTCAAACTTTACCTTTGTATAGAATAGTTCCCTTTCCAAACTTTGTTTAGATAGTTTACAATGGTGCACTTTAACCGGTTATCTTTTCACCAATGGTTTCACAAATTTTCTTATGGCATGTATTGTTTTGATAAATCACAATTGAAAATTTAAATCTTCGAGTTAGCTTCGATACCTGTTTTCTCCGAGCGGAGCTCGGTCACCCGCTGGTGGATAAATTAAACAACATTAAGTGAAATTTTAAGTATAAGTAATGACGATGATGATGGGCATATATATTTCAATGGACTAGATTCTTGAAAGCGTTGATTCATTTTTGGCGATACCAAATACTTAATCTGAGATTTTAGAATTATTTTAATTACATTTTTTTAATTAAAAAAGTTTACTGTATTAATTTTACTATTTTAGAATTCTTCATTGCAAGCAATGACAAATAGTTTGAAAAAATAAGGAGAGAAATTAACCATAGCCATACTTTGTAAAAACTATATTGCAGAAACAGGATTTAAAATTTATGAGTAAAAATAATTTCTAACTGGAGCAAAGTTCTTATTTACTCAAAGAATAATAAATATAAGACTTAACGTGTATTTAAATATTTAATCCATAGTTGAAAAAAAAAACTGAATAGTAAATAATTATTTAAAAAGAAAATCATTCGACTCTAGTTAAAAATAAAAAAAAGGAAAAAGCAAAATTAAATTACATAACTTGAATTGTTGAACATTAGCGCAAAGATTGTAACGATGATGGATTGATATTTTTCAGTGGACTCGATTTATGAAAATACTAATTTGTTTTAATGCAATACCATAAAATCATCCACCCTATATTTAAATGTATACTATTTCTATTGAATCGGCGACTGATTTTAATTGAGTAATAAGGCAGTAATGGAGCATTATTTTAATTTAAAAATAAGTGAAAAAAAAGATTTTCTTTGAATTTTAACATCGTTGATTTCAGCCGAAAAGATATGTTCATTCTCTGTGAAGAGCTGCATAATTATTTATTCAGATATTTTAGTGATAAATAAACAGTTTAAGGTTTTAAAAATCTTTCTTTCATTTTGCACACACTCTCAAAACCCTAAATTTATTCTAAAAAAATTTTACTAATAATTTTCAAAGGTTGTTCATACGATATAAGTGATATCACAACTAAAAGAGCATTAAAATAGCCTTAGCGGATCGAGGCCGCTCATTTCCATTCAGCACATGTGACGTCATAACCAATCAGGGATTGTTTTTGATTACATCAGTTACGGAGGCCTTTTTGGGCAATCTAAATGTTTAATAATTAAGTAAATGAACATTTGGTGAAAAAAAAGCTATCTGATTTTCGGTTTCAGTAGAGAATTTCCTAAAAATTGGAATTGAAAATAAAATAATTTAAAAGATGCTGTAATTGTCCATTACCGATTTACGTTCAACTTCGTAGCCTTATAATTTTGAACCCAATCCAGAAGAACAGGGAACTTAGGGAGAAATTTGAATTCGTGGAGGACTTTTTAATGGATTTAACCCGCATTTGTGTTTCATGGAGAGGAAAACTGCAGCGGTTAACCTGACGGCAAGGGGACTCATGCACCGTTTTACGCCCATCTATTTTACGTCACTACTGTGGTCGGTGCGGAATTCGTATCGACCAGCCGTCGCTGGGGTTCGAACCCGCTACAACTCACCGGAAGGCGAACGCTCTATCCCCTGAGCGACCACTGCTCCTTGGCAACGAATATATTTTATAACCGTTGCTGATGAGCCGACCCAATTTTGAGTTTACGGCTACTAATGTTCAGTTCCATAGCTTTGTAATTTTGAATTCAATCCTTCGTTGAAGACTTTTTGAGATGAGTAACCCGCATTTGCGTTACATGGAGAGAAAACCTCTCACAGTTAGCCTGATGGCAAGGGGATTCTATTAACCCTTGATCCAACTACCACTGAGAATATTTTACGTCAGCACTGTGGTTGGTGATTGCTGGGGGCGGAATTCGTATCCACCAGTCATCGCTGGGATTCGAACCCATTTCACCTAATTGAAAGGCGAAAGCTCTATCCCCTGAGCCATCACGGCTTGAATTGGGCAAAGTATAGCTGATATCCGGATCATGTACTATTCAACTCTGCTTACAACTCAATTCTAGTGCCTCCAGGAAAGCGGAAGATTGCCAAGAACCACCAAGAATAAGTTTAATTCACGAGTTTTGACTTCTGTTTATTAAATTTAAAATCAATACATTTTAAATTTTGTTATTTTTACAATATTTATATGGTTATTTTTACTGTAATTACGTAATTTTACAAACTAAGTTTGTAGTAAATTTGTCTTTATAATTTGCATCCCTGGCAGCATAGTTAGAAATTTGAAAATGCATTCTAGCTAATAGGTATGATATTGGTTTGCTCGTGGCCGTTAAGACCTTAAGAGGACGACATGCCACGGAAGAAACTTTTCGTCGCAAATTCTCTTACTAATTTAAAAGAAAGAAAAAGGGCAAACCTAGTGTAAGTCATAAAGTTTCAATCACTGAAAAAAAAATTTCAGGTATCAAAATACAAACAAATTATTGCAAGAGAACTTCCCCATTGAGTTATACTTAGTTATCCTCTCATAATTTATTTTCATTTGGATATTTTAAAAACGTTTTTTCGGTACTTGAAACTTTATGGCTAACTCTAGGTTTGCCTGAGCTTCCTTTTTCTATATTTTAAATGTGTTATGAAGTTGAAAGAAAATTTGCAACGAAACATTTCTCCCGTGATATTCTTAAGGACAAGTTGTGTCTAGGGTTTCAACGGTCCTGAATCGACTTAAAACGAGGTATCTTTAATTCACAATTTTGCTTCGAAAACAGAAAAACAGCCACTTTTTAAAAAAAATACAGATATCAGAATAGACACCAACACCAAAAATAAAACTCTCCCAACTGAAACAGTAGTAGGAAAAAAACTCATTCACACAGAATGACCGAGAAAACCACAGATAATCTGAAATAGAAATCTGTAGTTGCGGTATCGTCGTTTGTGTCTGGCAAGCTCTGAAGATTCTCACGGAGGAATTACAACGAGCTTCCTGACGTAACACTACGGACGCCACCCACCCTTTCATTCATTACTTTCTGGCCAATGAGGGACCATCCTCAAGATTCCGCGGTTGATTGAGGACGAGCACGATTTTCTCCGTTAACCGGCTCATCCGAATGTTTACTTTTGTTGGATCTTTGAAACTGTGATTGATTAATAGAATTGCGATTCTTTTGAAATCGTTCTTCAATAACTGCTTCCACATGGACACTGTTGTTTATGTGGAAATGTCCTTGAGTATTTTTATGGCCCTTACATGTTTTGTCTTATAATTGAAATGTGAAGTTCTGCCGAAATGCTTTAAGCACCGATTTTATTATGAGTAAGTTTTTTTTGTGTGCATGTTTAGTTGATTAATTTAATGTGATGCTAATGATCTTGTAGCTTTGATATTTAAAATTAATAATGATGTAAAAATGTTGCTCAATTTGTTACTGACAAATGTTGCTTTTATTATTTCCAACCTCGAATTATTTTGATTCACACTTAAATTTTTAGAAGTTGTGTTTATTTTCAAGGAAATGGGTGGAGAAGAAGCATATTATTTTATAAATCGTTATAAAGTTTAGTTATTAAAAGGTGTTATATATATATAATTATTATTATTTGCATATTGCTTCGAAATGCTTAATTGCATTTTATTTGTAGAAACCAGGAGATCGAATTTCATCTAAATTTAACAATATTTTTTTTCTCAATTATCGCAAATTGCGTTTTTAATACAGCTTAATCCCTGATAATATTTCATAAGTACATTATTATTGATTTTTTTTTTTTTTTTTTTTTTTTTTTTTTTTTTTTTTTTTTTTTTTTTGTCTATATGTAATTTTTAAGAGTGGAGCAATATAATAGCTGTTAAATTTAAAATTTGTTTTTAGAACTGATGTAAAACAATTTATTTTTAAGATTTACTATTGAAATTATTATCTGAGCTCTCATGTGACAATATAGGTTTTTGATAAATAAATGAAAAAATAAACCTAATATTTCTTAAAGATTCAATACTAATAAACTCTATTCCCCAATCTCACCTCCTGATGGTATCGGGGAAACCAACTTCAAAACCTTAAAAAAGAAACCCGATTTTGGCATACAGGTTATTGTATTTTAATTCAAAGGTGAAATTATAACTGCAATATGAAGATGGCATCAAAATTGTTTAAAATCAACTTCATTGATGCTGAAAAATCTCTCTAATGATACCAAACCCGAGCCTCTCCCCCGAACTAGAACCCCACCCCAGGAGTCATCCAGCACCGGGGGTTTCTGGAAGGGTTTTTTAATTTGAAGTCACTGAATGAGAGCATCTTTTAAAATGTCAGATTTTCATTTTTTATTTGGTGGAATTTATACCCAAGTCAATGCGGCTGGAAAAAAAAGTTATAAAAATAGAACAATTTTGTATTCGTACCTCTTTATGCCCCTGATATTGTTAAATATAGTCAAGAAAGACATTGCTACACTTCTTGATAGATTTAACTGTTTTAATTAAATCTATCAAGAGATAAATAAATTAAAAGTTCGAAAAATTATAAAAACATTTTAGGCACAAAAACTATAATATTTTATTACATTGAAATTATACCTATTTGTAAATCTGACAGATATGAGATGGAAATTACATTTATTTCATGCGTAAAACCCACATAACTTCTAAACTATTAGTTCCATCAACTTGGTTTTAGTCTGAATCAAATAATCGCATATAAAATCGAATACATTGTTTGTCTATATAGCAATGTCAGACGTTAAAATCGGTGATAGGACAAAACTGCATTTCATGCATAAAAAACTATATAACTTTTGAACTGTACGTTCTATCGACTTGAATATGGTTTCATTCTATTTAGAAAATAATACATCCGAAACTCGAAACAATATCTTGCTAGTCTAGATAGAAAAGTAAAAGTTTTACTTCCATTTAACTTCCTTCCCAGAAGTCGGGATAAACTTGATATATTTATACAGAAATGATTGTGCTCCTGAAAAAAAAACCGGATTTTTTTGCTAATCACGATCCGGAAGTTTCCGGAAATCCAAGGTTCAGAAGTTTCAAGAAATCATCGATTACATTTATGCATATAAATTCTTGTATATTTTATTTAGAAATATTAGAACTAGAATTTGTACTTGGCATTTCTTTCATTTGTAAATATTTTTTTCTGGTAGAATAATAAATGTGANTTAGTTTGAATAAAATGATCGCATATAAAATCGAATACATACAACCTTCACAACTTCTAAACTATCAATTCCATCAACTTAGTTTTAGTCTGAATAAAATGATCGCATATAAAATCGAATACATACAACCTTCATAAATTCTAAACTATCAATTCCATCAACTTAGTTTTAGTCTGAATAAAATGATCGCATATAAAATCGAATACATAGCAACGCCAGTCGCTAAAATCGGTATAAGGACAAAACTGCTTCTTCATGCATAAAAAATTATATAACTTTTGAACTGTACGCTCTATCGACCTGAATATGGTTTCATTCTATTCAGCGTATAAGAATATAATACATCGAAACAATATCTTACAAGTCTAGATAGAAAAATATAAGTTTTACTTCCATTTAACTTCCTTCCCAGAAGTCGGGGTAAACTTTATATATTTATACAGAAATGATTGTGCTCCGGAAAAAAACCGGATTTTTTACTAATCACGATCCGGAAGTTTCCGGAAATCCAAGGTCCAGAAGTTTCAAAAAATCATCGATTACATTTATGCTTAAAAATTCTTGTATATTTTATTTAGAAACATTAGAACTGGAATTTGTACTTGGCATTTTTTTCATTTGTAAATATTTTTTCTGGTAGAATAATAAATGTAATTAGAGATCAAAGTAAACTTATTCATAATTATTCATTTAAATTATGCTGCATATAATTTATTTAGAATTTCATGTTTTGAAAATATCAGTGACTTAAATTTATAAAGACAAAAATTTAAGTCATTGATATTAATTTTAATTTATTAATTTTTTTAAATGATTTTACTCAAGAAACTTTCAGGGTTTTTGAGTTGTGCTCACAATCACCCCTGTTTATATTAAACCTAAACTAGGCGTCAAGTTTCACTCGTCAGCTTTCCATTACTGATTAAATAATTAAGGCTGGCGAATAAGTTTCATCTTCTGAATTGTCGAGATTTATATTTAACTACATATGCTTATTTTAACAAATCTATCAAGGTAAACTATATAGATTAACCTGCTTCAATCTAGAGGCACCTGGAGGTGTTTTGAAGTCCATCAACGACATTTTTCTTTTATTTGGAACAAAAAATCTTCAGTAACACATTTTTCACTTAAGGAAACCATTTTTTTTTTTTTTTAACATTGAAATCTTATGACAGCTTTAATTGGATTTATTCTTATTAATGCAATAAATACATTTCGATTAAGCTCAGATTTTGTTTTTTTATTTCAGCCATCAAAAAGTTTTTCACAATACATCAGTTAATATTTTAAAAATGGTTCATATTTTTCACGAATGTTAAATACTGGCGAGCAAAAATTTTAGTCTGGCTAGTAACTTTGGAACGAAATTTCATGCCCTGACCAAAACCACTATTTTGAAAACAATTTTCCATTGAACATTGTTTTTTATGTATATATATTGTAACCGTCGTTGAAGAGCCGACTCAATTTTTAAGTTTATGAGTGCTAATGTTCAACTCCGTAACCTTGTAATTTTGAACCCAACCTAGAAGACAAGGGAACTCCTGGATCAAATATTGGGAGAAATTTGCCTTCGAGGAGGACTTTTTGATGGAACTAACCCTCATTTGTGCTACATGGAGAGGAAGACCATGAGAACCTCCCACGGTTAGCCTGACCGTGAGACTCTAACCCATGATCCGTCTACCACTGAGGATATTTCACTTCAGCATTGTGGTCGGTGCAAGCCGGATGCAGATTCGTTTCGACCAGCCATCACTGAGATTTGAGCCCGGTTCACCTCATTGGAAGGCAAACTCTGTATCCCCTGAGCCATTGCGGCTCTGAACATTGGTATTCATAAACTCAAAATTGAGTCGGCTATTCATCGGCGGTTATAATTGTTTTCGTTGAGCCTTGGTGGCTTAGGGGATAGAGTGCTCGCCTGCCAATGAGGTGACCCGGACTCCAATCCCAGCGAAGGCTGGTCGATCGCACCAGGCTCTCACCAACCACAGTGCTGACGTAAAATAGACGGACGTAAAACAGGCAGTGGCAGACGGATCACGGGTTGGAGTCTCCTTGTCGTCAGGTTAACCGTGGGAGTTTCGCGTGATTTTCCTTTATATGTAACGCAAATGCGGGTTGGTTCCTTAAAGAAGTCCTCCACGAAGGCAAAATACTTGATCCTTCCTCTGTCTTCCGGATTGGGTTCAAAATTATAAGACTACGGGATTGAACATTGGTAGTCGTAAACTCAAAATTCGGTGGACTGTTCAGCGATTGTAATAAAATAAAATTAAATTGTTTCCGTAATCAACTACACAACGGTACGTAAAATTTATGATTACATTCAGCAGAAATTCAATAAGTTTCTATTGATTTGAGAATTGATCTTCATGTGGCTTCATTTACAGCAAATGTCATCATATCTGTTCTCTTTTGACAGAAGTAGTTAATTGCTTTTTCAACTTTTGAAAAAAATTCAATTTCTCGCAAGTTTAAGGTCAAATTTTTTGGTCACGTTAGACCACTTATTAATATGTATTCGCGGAAATGTTTACCTTTGCGTTACACTTAAGGCATAAATAGATTTTGGCAGTTAAAATTTTAAGAAAAAGCCTTACTTTACACAATTTGTGCCAAAAGTCAAGAAAATTTAATTTCTAAATTGCCTTTTGTGACATTAAAGATATTAAAACATTTTCATATAAGATTTCAAGAAAAATAATAACATATCGTAAAAACATTTCATGGAGAAAAAATCCAAGGAAGGAAAACTCAGTTCAAAATGTAACCATTACAAGAAGACCTCTTAAGAAACTATTTGTATCGAATAAATATTTGGTTTTCCTCTGTAAGATTTAAAAATTATTTTTGAAACGCTCCTTTTTAATGTAAAAATTTGAGCAAGATTTTTATTAGCGAAGTTGGTAGCCAATGTTAGATAATATTTAGAATTGGGTAGTTTTGCAGGGTTTTTTTTTTCTTTTTTTATAAGAGAATGCAAATAAAAACCATTCATGTCATAAATTTAGAACTCGTGTTATAAATTTAGAACTCGTATTTTTAGTGAATTTTTCTCTGTAATATTCGGGATTTCTAAGATGTACCCTTTAGTATAAACTGCAAAAGCATGGAAAGGTTGCACCATTA